TTCAAGAGACTTTAGATATTTTTCCATATTTTTCTTTTTTTGTATTTACTTTCATTTCTTTCCAAATAGTTTCCTCCTTGTTTTTTTAGAGAGCTATTTAGGAGAAAATTGCATTTATTTTCCAACAAAATTTACTCTTCTTACTTTTATTTTACATGCAATTTAAGATTCCTTCAATAAAAGTTCATGTTCTTTAAGTTTTCAAGTTAAATTTGATGAATTTTCACTTGAATCTCAATTCTGTTTGACAATTCTTGATTTTGACCTATGTGCGACTTTTTTTTTGGATCTTAATCAATTCTTGCGAGTTTCAATCCTTTTTTTTTTTTTGTGGATTCTTGATTCATAGTTCTACAAATTTGGAAAAGATCACATTCAAATTTTTTCTACAAATTTTCAAAAAATTCCTCAAAATTTCGGTTAGATCTAGAAGTTAAGTTAAAGCTTAAGTTGTGACAATACATCAAGTCTTTTCTCTCCTAGCTGGTATTTGGTTGCTATTTTCTCACTTTACACTCTTTAATTCACGCATTTACTTGTTTAATTTTATTTGATTGCCTTCAAGCATTTCAATTATGTTTGGTTGGATTTTGCGCAACTACTTTATTTTTACTCTTTCTTGCATTCAGTTTGTGATCTACTTCAATGAGCTAAGTTTTTTATGGTTTTATGCAATTTTTTTGTTGATTTAGATAGTAAACGTGTAGATCTAGATTGTTTTAGATCAGTTTAAGTTCATTCCATCTATAGAGTTGTAGATCTAAATTTTGCTTCAAGAATCATTAGTTTTCAAATTTCAATTGCAACTTGCGATTTTCAATTTTTTTTGTTAAATCTTGAGATTTCTTTCCGTTGTTTGCACTTTAATGCTATTTTGATTCAAGTTTACATGTTGTTTTTGCAATTTACAGTTTGTTTGGATCAATTTCTAAGAAGTTTCTAGATGTTTTTTTGTTAGAAGTTTCAAAGTAGTTAAATTCAGTTACTAGTTAGTTATTTTAGTTTATGTCTTTTAGCTACTATTTTGTTTGAAAATTGAACTTGTTATTTTTGTTTCTTTAGATTCATTTTACATTAAAAGCATGTTGAGTTCAATTCATGATACTTTAGCAACTATTTTAGTTAATTTTTCTAGTTTGCTTATTTTACATGTTACAAATTTACTTCTTGCTAAAGTTATGTATTGTTAATGGTTTTATTCAATTGTTCTTATTAGTCTAGCTTTGCATACACCTTTTGATTGAATCAACTTTAGAAAGAGTGTGGGAATAATAGGTAATTAGATTAAAAATTCTTTAGCTAATCTTTATGGGATGATATCTTAACCTTAGGTCACTATTATTACCTAAATGATTTATATGCTTGCAGAAAATTCAGATTCAGTCTCAAGGATGAAAATTGAATATTTTTAGCTAAAAAAAGATGCCATCCTACATAATGAAATACCTATAGATTTTTACATCTTTGTCATTAATGCCATGGAACTATTGGTTCTAAAAAATGGAGTTGAATCAGTTGTTGGAAAGGTAAAAATAAGTGATTTTTGTGGTGAGATAGGATACCTTAGTATCGATCACTTGTTAGCTTGATTTTACAAGGTATGTGGGGAATGACACAAACTCATTTGCTATGGGGTTGATAATCTATTTTCACAATAACTATAAGTATATAGATCGATCAAGTAATAAAGTGATAAGTATTCAAGTATTGACTTACATAGGATTATAGATTGTAATGTTGGTGGATTCAAGTACCAATGGTGAAAACCTAATCTTTTATATCTAAACAAATGAATACTAAAGTGGGTTGCAAAACAAATTAAGAAAGCAATGTAAAAGGATTATAGGCCTAGATCTTTACTCCACCAACTGTCACTTGGCAAGTAAAAGAGGTGTGGCCAAATATAACTAAAAGAAATAAAGATTGCTTTTGAAAGCAAGGAAGAATAAGTGAAGATCGAAAGCTTGTATAACATAAATCAAGAATGCATAATTCAAAACTTAAAAGAAAGAATATGAAACCTAAACTTGAGTAAAAGAGAAGGTGATTGCCGAAACTTGTAAAGCATAAAAAAGTTGTAACCAAAACTAATTAAAGAGAAAATAGCTACAAACTAGATCTTGAATAGGAAGAATTCTTGTATTAAAAGAAGAATATAAGAAAACAATTATATAGAAGAAAAGAATTTTAGAAAATAACTTTGTTAGTAACAAATTTGTCTCTTAAGGCAATGACTAAAACTTAAGAAAAACTAAAGAAAAGACTAAAAAAAAAAAAGAGAAGAGATGAGAAGAATGGGATCATGAACAAGGGAAATGACCTTGTTGTTTATAGGCATAGGTTCAGCCATAAGGGGTAAAATTACAAGAGTTTGACTTCTATCTAAATGTTAAAGGATAAAGTTTATCTTGATCTCTAAAGAACTTTGACCGAATGGGAGTCTTAGTTCTTGAAGAAGCTTGGTTGAGTATGCTTCTATATAGTTCATATTGGCCTTTGATCAATCTTGAAATCCATCATGCTTTAATCTTCATCCTTGATTTGGTTAAGGTAGGATTACAAGATAAGGTGATTGAATTCAATCTAAATTCCTTTAATTCAAATAGGAAAAGTCCTTTCTTTATCACAATTCTTCAAAAGATACACAAAAGAGTCTTCCATGCATGAAAACGTCTTTGGCCGAATAGGAGAGTGTCCATGTGAGCTTGAAATGGCTTGAAGTCTTCTTGGAATTTGACTTAGCTAAATGGATATGGGAGAGAGAGTCCTTGTGATTGCAAAACTTCATCAAATGTGCACTATCATTTTTTTTGCATTTTAATTGGCCAAATGGTTAAGTTTTTGTGTAAGTCAAACACTTCAAATCTCCTTGAATCTTGCTATAGCCGAATGCGAGTGATATGGAAGTGTCCTTGTGCATGTAAACTCCTTCTTGGCTACTATCTTCCTTGCATGGCCAAAAGTCATCTTAACAAGCTTCATGCATGGAATGGTCAAAAAAGGTTCAGCTACTATCTTCCTTGCAACCCATGCAATCCATAGGTGGAATTGGTCAAAGAAGGTTCGGCTACTATCTTCCTTGCAGGGCCAAAAGTCATCTTGCATGCATGGATTGCATGGGTTGCATGATTTCACATCCCATGGCCTTAAAACCTAAAAATCATGAAAACAGCATTAACAATACCCAATTCAATCAAAATTTTCAAATTTAGCATCTATTTTAACTAGCAAAATCATTATATTTTTAGGTACCATCAGGTGCCCTATGCATAATAGTACCATGGTGGATTATACGTGGAGTGTTGGTCAGACACTTTTTGGACCATATTCAGAGATGCACATGGTGGGGATAGAAATCTCCTTAAAACAAAAGCAGCATGTTAAGTTCATACAGAGACGGCACCTATTCAGATAATGTTCTTTTAATGATCTTGAATCTGCAACAGGGTCTTGCAGAAGCTAAGAAGAAATTTTCTGTGAAGAAACTTGAGATGTCTCAAAGTCCTGATGCACTCGACGTTTAGTTTTCTTTTTGTCTTTTTCCATTAGCTGTGTTGACCAGATGACAAAGCTGATCTAAAAGCATTTTATCCAACATCAGTCCCTGAAATTGTACATGCCATTCTCTTTTTCTGGGTTGCTCGAATGGTTTTGTTGAGAATTAAGTTGGGACATGACGTTAACTTCCTAGGCACAGTGGATATAAAGCTTTCCAGGTTGCAGTTTGTGAAGCCAACATTGAAATAGCCAATTTCTTTTTGGAGCAAGGTGCTGATATTCACAAAATTGCTGGCCATCGATGGACCCCAAAAGAGCTAGCTGTACAATAAGGACTTGAAGAAATATGAATGATATTCGAAAGAAGCAAAGAAATGAAAACTCCATCAATTATGCCTAGTTCTGGGAAGCAGGAGACAAGTTACCTTGGAAGGTTTTATATGATTTACAGTAGTTTTCTTTTTCTTTTGCTCCTTGAGGACAAAGATCTTTTTAGGGAGGGTGTATTGTTAAAGGCCGAATCAATTGAAATAGAAATGGGCTTATTAGCTCATAAGTCCAATAATGTGAGCCCATCGAATGGATGTTGCTTTACATCTCTATTAAGTTCGCTAGTACCAAGATTAGTGGTAAGGAGTCTTAATGGTGGGACTAGTTACAACCCAGTTGAGTCACTATCAGTGGGAGAATATTTAGTATGAGTAACGATTATAAAGGACTCATTCTGATGTCAATACAATTCTTGAATTTTTTCTACTCTTCTTCTGCTTCTTCTTTCTCTCCCACTCTCAATTATCGCTGAGCAAATTCTTTAAGCTTTTGCATCTGCTCATTCCCTTACGTATTCTATCGGCCTGTATCACAACACATTAATGGCCAAAGCAATTTGATTGGGATAAGATAAGAGGAACTGTGGGATATGTTCCAACAGGTAATTCCCTCCTCTGTTAGTTCTTACTTCCTGCAAATTGACTTTATATGACCTTTAACATTACTCGTTTAATTTATCATCAAGTTGATACATTTTGCATTTGATCTTCATCTTGATGATGCTGGCACTTTCTTGAAATGTTTGGAATTGCATAATATGATATATAGGAAAGGAAATATCGACACTTGATGTTTACAGCTACGGCATCCTTTTAATGGAGAGCATGTTTACAAGAGACTTGAGCCTACATGATTATGTGAAGACGGCACTGCTTGAACTTGGGCCTACATGATTATGTGAAGACGGAACTGCTTGATCGTCCGATGTAGATAGTTGATCCTTTGCTCAAGTTCGAAGATGGAGTCTCAAACCAAACTAGCCAAAGCAGCGTAGGCATAAGCATTGGGAACATCTGCATTGGAGTCATATGCTCTGCTGATTTGCCAAGAGAACGAATGAACATCAGAGATGTGCTGCTGATAGAGCGTCACATTGCTAGAAATATGCTTCTTGGAGACCATAGGAGAAGAGAAAGACTGAGATTAAGAAATACTAGTCAGTAGCAGCTTCAGTCCATTATAGAAATCCTTACTCATCCATATTGATAATAAGGTTATCTTCAGGCAGATGAGGGAGATTATTCTGAGCCACTTACTACAAGAATGTAAGAAAGATCTTTGGAGTGGAGGAGATTATGAGCTGCGATGGAGGGTTAGAAGAGGCTGCTGTGGTGTCTGGAACATGGAAAGGTGTTAAAAGTATATAGGATCTTTGGCTCATCGTTGAGAAATAGGGTCTTGGACTTGTGTTCAGAGATGCAATTAATGCAAGAAGTTAATAATGAGATGGAGATGCAAGGCGTCTCCATCGTCAATATTTTTATAAATTAAAATATTATTCAGACATCTATTTTGTGACACTAATTCCATATACTGAGTCTAATTTATACTTAAAATCTGTTGTGGATATCAAAATATAAATTGGTTTATAATGTAAAACATGCAACATTCGATATATCTACAGGGCAAACCAGCTTAATCAAGATGTTATAAAAGTTGTTATTAATTGTTTACACCATGTCTGATCGTTAATGTAATTCCAATGTCATCTTATTATAATCACAATATTTACTATTTAGAGTATCTTTCAGGCCTTTGAACCGAATTTGATAGGTTTTTAACCGTCTTTAGCTGCCAGAAAACCTGGGAATGAGAACGATGGAGGATTATATGTTACACTTTCGTCACACCACTAGCAACTATACTCCTAGCCTCACATCTAGATGGAATCCTACAACTTACATGAATGAAGTGAACAAGCCAAATGATTAAAAATGAATCATTGACTTCTTTCAGCTTTCCTAGTCAAGAGAGTCAAGAGGTAGGAAGAAGCTTGTATCAATATCAGCACCTTCTCTAGAACCTTCACCTAGCTATCTGATTCATTCTATAAGAAATTGGTATCCTACGAGCATAGGATGATCAAATCCTGTTGAAATGGAGAAATATTTCAATCCCATGGGATAGTATTCCGAGTTTCATACTTCATTTATATGTTTCCTAGGTTACCTCTAATTCAAAATATATATATTTTTTGTTCTAAAATTGTAATATTAAGTGTACAATGCTATATTGAAGGACAATTCCAACCAAGGACAAAACAATCATCCTTCTCAACATTTAAATATTTAACCACATACAAGCATATTGAAGTTTCAAATATTTCCAAATTACAAAGGAAGCTGCTAGCACATTGAAGTTTGTAACTAATAAAGAACACGCATATTTATCATAAATATGCGTAAGTTTCTTTCTTCCCTCCATTTTTTTTTTCTATTTCACAGTTACAACTAGTGATATTGTGGACCTCACCTTGTTCGAACAAGTTCAAGTGGGAGAGTTTCCATTGCTGTCTGAAATTTAAAAAGATAGACTTAGATACAGCAAAAAGCTTTGATATGGAACAGAAGCCTGGAATAATGCTTACCCATAGTCTTGGAGTTATTGGATCAGATTTTGGATGTAATCTGGACAACTCAGACTGAAAGCTGATGACTACAGCAACTTTGAATTCAATGGAGAATGGACTGCACAGTGCATTTCAAAACAAATATATATTTAAAACAAAGTTACAATAATGGTATCACTTGACACATCTATTATGATGAAAAAATGTGAACATATAATTCTCGATGCATGCTTAAACTTATTGATAAATTATCCAAGATTCCTCTAGCCATTTTATTGAATTGTCAATTTTCCCTTCTTTTAATTGCAAAAGTGTATTTCTATGAACTTATTGATAAATTAACCAAGATTTTCCTAGCGATTTTATTGAATTGTCAATTTTTCCTTTTTTTTTTAATTGCAAAAGTGCATTTCTATATAAATTCATTGGCATCTGGAACTCTACTGTGAATTTGTATACAGAAGGTTCAATTTATCAAGGTAAAATAACTCTGTATAACAGATTAACAATGACCATAGTGACAATATGTAAAGGTTAACATGACTTTAAAATATTAATATTACTAGGGTCTGGAAGGGAAAAAAAAAGTTAAGCTAGAAAGAAATTTGGATGATGAATTGGCAAGAAAGGGTAATAGGAGATGTATTACAATCAGAACAATCTTTAAGGGATTATTACTGCTTAGATTAGAATGTTTAAAATCATTTATATATCAAATTCCTCTCCTTTAAAATATTTTTATGCCCACAGCCAGATATGACCCAAGCTTACACTCCCCAAGCTCCCTCCAGATAGAGGGAAGCATAATGCTAGGGTAAGGGCCTGATTTCTCCATTTATAAGTTCGCATAAATTTTGTAACCTATCTTTCATGAAAGATTTGACAGCTAACAAAACCATGCTCCCAGGAAAATTAGGTAAAGTCTACAACTGGGTTGGATATTTACTCATTATAGAATTATACCATGCAAAGGAAAAATGCCTCACCCAGATATTAAGGATGGACCATACTGACGCAAAAGGCCTATATCTTCAAGAAGGAAAAAAATGACACAGAAGATACTTTTTTTTTCATCTAAATTTGTCAGTTTTGCAGCCCTTTTTGGGGCAAGATATTACAACAGCAATCAGCATCTGCCAAATTTCCATGTCTTAGGTTTTCAGCTAATTTACCTATAACTAGGGTCCCCCACATCTTGAAAATAAGCAGATGCATTATTTGTAAAAAGGGTCGAATATCCTATTAACATAGAAAGCAGACAGTACAATATCGTAATTATCCAGTTAGCATACCAAAAAGTTCTCTATAGTTTATTTAAGATTTTCATTTTGGAATCATATTAAATGATGCAAATTTGATCACAGGTTAGTTGCAAATTTTACTAGATTAAACACACAAACACATGCACACATTTGCAACTCACCCAGCTAAGACAGTTGGACAAGTAAAAAGACGAGGGAGTACAACATATATTGGCAGAGTCATATTACGACAGACATCTCCATCTGCTATCTAGAAAAGAATGAGTGAAAGAAGTTAAATGATACATCAACTGATTTTTTCTTTTCAGCCAATATATATAAGATGAATTAAAAGAGTTACACTGGGTGTGAAAATTTGCACCTGTGTAGTCTGTATCAAAGAGGTTTCAGTGATGATTTTTTCACCAAGAAGAATTGACTCTACACGAAGTAAGTGAATGTCAACGGAACAAATGGGAAGTGTAGATGCTTCCACTGTTAATTCTCCACTGAGAGGTTCAAGCATCGAACATTGTGTGGATATTCTTCCTGTGATGCGAAAGCCACCTATTCAACCAAACATCTAGTCAGCAGGTGGTTAAAAAATCACTATTATAAGGATTAAAATGCAATGTTGCTGAGTTCCTCATTATCCAACCTCTTAGAAAAGTATGAATAACATATCAGACATTCCGTGATTTAAGATTTTAAGTACAGGATGCTAGAGCAAGAACATGGGAAATAGCAGAAACCTGATTTCAGTTCAGGAAGTATAGGATGTCTTTGAGTGTCCTGTGTAATGTAAAAGATAACCATCTCAGGAGAAATTGGTTGATCATGAAGGTCAGCTGAAAATATATCACAACAGACAAACCCCATTTAATCTAATTCATGTCGATATAAGTGAGAGGAAGACTTTAAACTGAGCCATACCTTTGTCACTCTCTACTATGAATTCCAATGTGGCAGATAACGATTTATGCAGGTATCCTCTCAGTATATCTATAGTTGCCAAATACTATCACAGGATCGATTAAAAATAAGATAGAGTCCATTAATGATTAAACAACAAGATTAAACAGAGAAAGATTTCTAGAATAAGAAAATAGTCACCTGGATGCTAATATTTGTTCCATGGAAGGTTTCATAAAATCTTTCCAAATTGTCTTCTTTAGGATTCCTCAAAGTTATAGAGAACGGTATCTGCCACAATAAACAAGTATTACTTCTAAAGGACATATGAGGCACTTGCAATTGATAAAAATGAGAATCAAGGACAGAAAGCTAAATTAAATGACAGTTACATCAACCTTGATAATTCTGTCGGACTCTGTTCACCAACACAAAGAACACAAATTCTGCCCATTTGGTATTTATAAGAGATACGAGGTACTTGCAATTGATAAAAATGAGAATCAATGACAGAAAGCTAAATTAAATGACAGTTACGTCAACCTTGATATTTCTATCAGACTCTGTTCACGAACACACAGAACACAACTTCTGTCCATTTGGTATTTATAAGAGATGTGGTACTTACGTCTCTCAAAGTCTAGAACTTATGGCAACTTATGGCAGGGGTTCAGGTTTATGCTCAAGTACCATTATTTCATATTATCTTTCTTGTTATTGGACTTGTTAAACTCTCACTTAAGCATATGATTTTTGGTGTGAGTTAATCTTTCCCTTTGTTCAAAATTTAAAAATGAATAAAAAATAAACATATGTAAATCCTGTGAAAAGGCAAAAATATACCATGCAAAGAAAACAAACAGTAAGAAGTAGAAAGGAAAAAGAAATACAATGTGCACAAGTACACAAACATATTAGAATTATATATTTCATCATTGATGTGCTACCTCTGTTGTACCTGAAACAATCTTTCCAGATGGTTTAATCTCAAGGATCTTACTCCTGTCCAAATAAGAAAAAGAATCATTTGTAGAGATATTTGCATAGGCCCAATATAAGAAGAGATAGCTTGAAAATATTAAAATAAGTCAAATACACATGACAGAAAGTGTAATTAAGATAATGCTAATTTTACAAACAATAAAACTTTTGGTTATTTTGGGAAATCCCACAAGCATAGACAAGTAAAAGAGGTTCCATAAAGCACATAGCAAGCACACTTCCAAGCTTCACTAAAGAAATAAAGCAAAAGGCTAGCGAAAATTTCATGTCTAGCTCTGTTAAACGGTTCTTGTTTATAGAGACATCATGCACCCTACTTGAAGCCTAATGCTCAGGTACCGGAGTTTCCTAGACACAGCTGATCTAGAGCCAAAGATATGCCATTGGGAGTGAGAGAACTTCAAATAACATGGACAGCATTCTAAGCCTTTTTGGCCAATAAAGAGAAGTGCCAGCCATTATTTTCCACAACTAATCACAAAATAGTTAGAAAATGTTTAACAGCCAAGAACACTACCCAACTCTCAGAAAAACACCTCAATGCCTACTATAAGGCCATTAGACCAAGGATCAAACAGTCATGTGTAACTATACAAGGTGTGAGGCCTTGATATAGAGAATCAAAACTTTCTAAATTATGAGAACCACCACTTACTGATTGTTTCATTTACCGATGTCCCCAATGACAAGAATACTATTTAAAACAAGTTTACATAGAAGTTGATTCCTCTCTATTGACATTGTAGGCTTCAAACTAATCTTTTACATCATTTGCTCAATTATCAAATCATTCAATAAGAGAGACATAAACAATTCACCCTTTTATTATCACCTATCCTAATTGAATCAAATGCCAAGTTTTACCACCAGAGCAAATGTCCAAGGCAGTTAGCACTATATAGTTAAGCAGGAAACATGATAAATGCTCGCAAATATGAATCTATGTCAAATTGGAAAGTATGTAGAAAATTTCACATTTGATAAAAAGCATAAAATGATCCAAGACACCATCCTAGATCAGATTCAAGTAATCATTCATAAATAAAGCTGCATATTATTGAGGCAAATTTTGAACCTTAACTTCAGTTACAGTCCACATATATTAAATATGGTGATTGTATTTCATAATTATCAAGCAGAAGGAATTAAACTAAACGTACAGGATGGGAATCGGCTTGACAACACCATAAAAGGACTCGATGACTCCTGCAGACCCTCCTCGAACCTTCAAACCAAAAAAATAAAGAAGAAGGGGAGGGGGGACAGTAAAAGAAAAGATCAGTATTCAAGCTGACGATTTTTTTTTCCTTTTCCGGAAACAAACAAGTGATTGTAGAAATAGAACCTGGAGATTGACTGATCCGTTAAAGGCCATGCGAATTCCAGAGTGAGAAATAGAGGAAGCAGACTTCACCACGATTTTGCCTTCAAGAGGCTCCTATAAGAAAGACAAAATAAAATCCATCGTCAAATTCAATTACCATTTTTAATTTATTGCAGAAAGTTAAAAAAGAGAGAGCGCACATAGGGGAGATAGATGCGGTTGGGTCGGGAGAGTTTGAGCTCTATTTTTGTTGACATCGCCTACAAGGAATGATCAACTCCTTCACAAGTGCTATTGCAGATTTACAGATACAGTATAGTTTTTGGCTTTGAGCGCGTCCAGATCTAGCTTTATACTATTTTACATGCCTGTGGTTGGAGCCTGAAGGAGGTACTCATGGGCCAAACTGAATACCGGTATGGGTCGGATAAGATCTATCAGATTTTCAATTTTTTTTATTCGATTTGACCTGTGCACCTTTTATATTATTAGACCGTATCCGAACTTTATAAATAAAATATCTTAATAAAATCGATCTGGATAAATTTGAAATGATAAAATTAAAATATGAATATTTAGTTTAAGTAAATTTGAGTTTTAATTCAATTTTAAAATTGAGCTTATGATTGGATAAAACTTATGCTTCTGATTTAATTAAATAAAATTATAATAAATAATTTAAAATAATAACTTAAAAAAATACTTATAAGAAATAATTTAATTGATTTTTGACAATTGAAATTAATTGACAGGTAGACAATTATTTCATAGTAGACTCATTAATTCTTTCAATATTTTCTCTATCTCTTTTTTGAGACTTCACTGCATGACAAATTAGATAATAAAGACATTATTGTCACTAACAATGTCTAGAATATTATTGCTAGAATTAAAAAGGTTGATTGACTAATACTCACTAGCTTTAATAACCCAACTTAAAAAGTAAAGCTCCAAACGTTTTAGTTTGTCGCACTTTTGTAAATTAGGATATGGCACCTTGAATGTTAATGTTTTTATCACCCTCATGCCAAAAAAACACACCATGTATATAAGATATAATAATCTACTTTTCATTATTCATATTATAATACACCCATAGGTGATATTAAACAAGGTCAAAAGACAAGCCATTCAAGCATCTTTAGAAGCATTAGGAATTAATAAATGTTGTGGTCTATATAACCTTGAAGTATCATATAAAATCATTGAACATAAAATTCCATCCAACACAAACACAAACACAAAGAAATAGAGTATCAAGTAAGCCATCAGGCATTTTGTATCCTTGGATGTAATAACTTGTAAAAATTTAAAAAATAACAATAGCTTACATTCAGCCATAACTCAAATGCTAAGTGACTAAAAAAATGTGATGGTCATAAGATCTCAAAGCAATACAATACATAATACCACAAAGAATAAATTTTTGTGAGAAAACAAGAAACTATTCAAGATCACAGAGAAGTAAATTACAATGGATCTCTTAAATTGCACCCCACCTCTTTTTATCTTTTAGAGAGAGAAAAAATCAGCAAATTTCTTCCTAAAACTATAGTTTTCTACAAGTTTTCATAGGCCCATTTTATGATAGTGAAAAACCATCAATAAACCAAAAACCTACCTCAAGCACATGGCACCATGCTTGGTAATTGGTATGACATATTTAAAGTAGTCATTTCCATCATACTTTTCCATTCTATCTCTTTATCCTTCTTTTTAAGAAAATGTAAGAGGCAACCCAACAATATTAATGTAAAAGGCAAAGAATGATGTAACTGTTTTGCCATAAATTAAAAAAATTAAGCATGTCAAGCCAGCTTAGATATGCAAAAGATTAGCCAAACTTTAAAAACCTGATCTCATACCTTGTTCATTTTTTTTTCCTCCCCTTATGCAAAATAAGACAAGACAAAATAATAGTTATGAGCAAAACAATAGCTCAAACTAACAAACCAACAATAATAATGCTAAGGTGTCTCACTCTTAAATAGTGGTTCTCCAACCGATAATATATTTAATTAAATATAGCATTACAAACAAATAATTCAAGAAGCAACCCAACAATGACAATAAACACCACAAATAATTCCAGAATAAACATTTAATCATCCAAAAAACACAATAGATTAAAATGTTTTCCAACAAGACAACAATCACAATACAACAAGTATAAACAATTACATCAAGTCACCAAATAAGCTCCATCCCATATGAGCCAAAATACCAAACTATATCAACCTATTAGACCACTAGAAAAGAAGTCCAAAATAAAATAACTATCTAAAAAATATAACTACAACACTCCATTATATGAAATTAAGAATAAAAAGTTACAAAACAGAATTTCATATTTAGTGGAATTGTTGTTGTGAAATCCCTTCCATCTTCAATTTCTTGAAAATAGAATTAAAAGAATATCCAAAATAAAAAAGAAAAAAATTAACTTGTAATGAAAGAACTAAAAATGAAATTAAAACATTGTCTTCTACTTTTCATGTCAATCATCGATGACTATATTTGTTTCATTAAGGATCAAATCTTTAAAATCTAGCAAAAAAAGTATTTATAAAATTCATTAAATCACTAAGGGGGCATTTGGTTCAGGGGAATCTATATATTTTCTCTTGGAATCTTACTAGTGGATAGTTAATTTCAACGTTTAGTTAAAAGGTAATTCGATTTCAAGAGAAAGTGACAAATTTTCAATAGTACCTAAAGTCTAGGAATCAGAAACCCACCTCTCCTTGTGGTATTCTAAGATTTTGGGGGAGAAAACTATGTTATTTCCAAATTTGATCTAGATAAAAAATTATAAAATAGCCGTAACCATTTTAAAAAAACATGTCTGGAAGTGACTACCAGTTGTAGGTTTTTGTTGCTAAAATTTTTTTTTATATTGCAATTAATGGCGTTTGGCATGAAAAGCACCTTAAATAATCCTGTTCAATTTTTTTTTTTGAAATTATTTAAGGCATTTTTTAACCAAAAACATCTTAAATAATCCCCTAAAAATTTGATCAGCATTATTTAAGGCATTTTTTTTACTAAAAATGCCTTAAATAATTTTAAAAAAAATCTTATAAGTAATCCCTAGCAATAAACATTAAAGGAGGGATCAAACTTATGATTTTATGGTTAATAGTTATATGCTCTAACCAACTAAGCTATTCCAATTTTTTTTATATTATATCTCTTAAATCTTATAAGTAATGAAAGGGATTATTTAAAGCATTTTTTTATCAAAAATACTTTAAATAATGCCCTTCAAAAACATTAAAGCACTAGAGAGGGGGGTTAAACCTACGATCTTATAGTTAATAGCCATATGTTCTAATCAACTAAGCTACTCCAGTTTTTTTTAATTTTATTTATTAAATCTTATAAGTAATAAAATGGATTATTTAAGGCGTTTTTGACCAAAAATGCCTTAAATAATCTCCTTTAAAAATAATAGTATAAATTATTTAAGGCATTTTTGGTCTAAAATCACCTTAAATAATCCCCTCATATTTTTTAAATTACATTTATTTAAAACATTTTTGGACCAAAAATACCTTAAATAATTTTTTTTAAAAAATATTTAAAAAAATAAAAGGGATTATTTAAGGCATTTTCTGCCTTAAATAATCCCCAATATTTTTTTTATTGATGACATTTTATAAATAAAAACAACAATTAAATAAAAATTTATCTTCTTTTGCTATTAAAAGTATCATTTGTCATTTAGGTATTTATTATTAATAAAAGCTAATAAAAAGTTGCCATCATATGTCATGAATGTTATAGTAATTATTCAATAATTAATATATGTGGATTTTGCATAACCAAATGAATAAATTTGAATACGGGATGCCCTGAAAATGAAAAAAAATCTCTGGTATCTCACTTTCTCAAAGATCACACTTTTTCTCGAAATTTAAGATTCTGTAAATCAAATGCCCTTTAAGGGAATGATAAATGGTGAACAAAACAACATAAATATATCTAATTAAGTTATAAATACTTACTACAATCAATGTCTTCACAAACATTCAATTTTTCCTCATTTTCAACCGGCATAGGTGTAGATTTTAGCCAATTCTATATGCAAATAAGAGTCTCAACCATTTTTTGAGTTAAAGAATTATGGAATGAATCAAGAACACACCCTGCAGTGCTAAAATTAGATGCGAAAGCTACAGTAGATATAGGAATGGCTAATACATCTTGCACTATCATAACAAGTATTGGATATTTGCAACCCTTTACCTTTCACCAAAGTAAAATGTCAAAATTCTTATCATTTTGCTCATATATATAATATATATCATCTAAATACCTTTCCAATTCTAACTTTCCCTTTTTGCATTATAACTCTGCATTTCTCCTTTTGTATTTTGACAAGCCACACATCTCGACATCATTAATATCAAAATTCTCTTTCAACTTCATTGGTGCTTAGGAACTAGAATAAAGCTACCAAGAACTGAAGCATATTGCTTAAGTGATATTTAAAGTGAACTTCACCCAATTAGCCAACTCCATAACCTTTTTTTTCATCATGAAACTCATCAATAACAAGCATAGCATAATCCATCTTGCGTCTAGGATCTAAAATAACAACAATGAATAACAAAGGATCGAGATTCTTTACATTTCCCTAATATTTCTTAAACTTATATTTCATTTGAGAAGTCATTAATTGAATACAAGGATTTGGATCATGCAATTTGTCATTAATTTACATTCAAACACTAAACACCACATAAAAGTAATTATTACCAATGACAAACAAAAAACCAGAGACACATAAAATGGAACATAAAAGCTTTTCAAAAAGGGAAATAGGAACATAATTCCAATTATCTTTAGTAGGCAAGCACTAATTTTTTTCTACCTTAAGCTCGACTTTATATTTGTCACCTTATTCCTTTAACCGATCAAAAGCTTTTTGAAACTTCAAAGCAAATTCCAACATTAAGAAATTTCAATTCCACCTAGTCTCAACATCTAAACAAACTAGGCTTTTACTTGTTACTTTTTCTTACTCCACACAAATATTAAATCTTTTGTAACCTTGCAAGGGATGACTTTACATACCTCACAGCAGAATAGATTCAAAAGATTGAATCATTGAAATCTTTTAAACCCTCATTCATGACAAGACTAAAAATGTGTGCACAACACCTCATATGCAAATGTTCACTTTTTAAAATACTACTTTTCAATTATTAAGTCTTTTTTTTTACATATTGGATACCAAAATCATTAATGTTTGCATATCTATTATGATAATGTTATCAATTTCCCATTCAAGTAAATGTTTCTTAATGCATTTTCCTAAAATATCACCAAAATAATTAAGAATTTGAGTGAAACTTAAAATTCATTTATGCAATTTCCACTTGATCAATGAAATGAACTGTAAAGCACATATGACTAAAATTTTAGCTAGAAGTTCAAATATTAGTAGTGAACCTTGA